TTATTGATCCCTATTGACACTCCTACTGCTTTAGACTTATACTTTGCAGTACTTCACACTAGTTGTAACCCGGTAAGACTGTACTGTCCTAGTCCTTGTAGTAAAAGGAATACTACGAGTAATGAGCTAATACTTAAAGTAATTAAGCTGATTGATACTGATCTAATGTGAAGTTGGAGGTAGCTATCAGAAAACTTATGAATACTGCTACAAAGTAGCCAGGTAACAACTAACTCACGACTTAGCTGACAGAACCTCGAGAGTATCCTCCAACACGTCCTCACGCTACGAACGCTCGACCAAGACTGTTTCTTTTTAAAAGTAAAACCATTTGAGGTTCCATTCACTCTCTCAATGGCGTTTCACAGATTCAGCATCGCCGCCGCCATATTATCAGACCGGAGCAACACGTGTACCTGCCTAATCCTTTCCCTTCATTTACCTCGTGTCTGAGGATCAGTGATAATGGTCATAATATTGGCATTCCGTGTGCTCCATGAAAGAAAATGTGGCTTAGCTCGTCGCGTCCGTCTGCCCGCAGCTGTTCTGAAGGCTCTCTCGGATGTGCCTATACCACTCCTTGTTCGAGGGTACCAAAAAGAGACACTGATTCGATGAAAAAAACAAGAAAACGAGGAAGACCAATAAATAACAGGAATAAAACGCGAAAACTCGTCCTGAAATAAAATGAAGCCATGTCTGGCGAAAAGGGTCTCATAATATGCCAGCTCGTTAGCTACGATGAGGCTTTGCATCCTCCTCATCCTCCGCAGTATCGGCCTTGGCTGGAATTTCCCTGTTCGCTTCCTTATTTGGACGTCTTTCATCATTTGCTCAACTGTCAGAAGACGCTTTGAACTGAAGTGAAGAGGTGATCCAGAAATGCAGATGGAATTCCTTTCTCTTACAAATATTTCGTGATAGAAAAGGCTGGACTCAGATTTCTATAAGTTATTAAAGGTATTTTCATTATGTATGGTGACGAAAGAAATAATAACAGCACGGCAGGAACCAAATGATGACTAAATCTATGAGTCAGGGACGATTTTGAACTCACCTCCTCGACCCAGAAAACAGGTATTTCCATTTTAGGAATGTTCTTGAATGTGTTGTACCCTTCGAATGGTCGCACTTTAACATTCGTCTGCAGCCTCTTCCTGGCTCGAAGGAGGGATCCAGTTCTCTATAACATTAGTTCAAAAGCACGATGCAGAACTGAGGCGATTAGATGCGAAATATATAATACTAGACCTGGGTGGTTTATTTCATTTATACCGGTTCGATGTCAAAGAAGGTTTCGTGCAAATCCTTGAGTGGTTCTAGTCCACTGATGAGGGATTCATTGTATCCAGTGTCTCCAGCTTCTTCCGGTACGTAGAAATGAGGAGAGGACATGATAAACTGCTTTCCTACACAGTAAACAAATTTTCTCTGACCTCGTGCCTGAAAGCCGCTTCTGAAGTATTGTGTGAGACCTCAATTGCCAAGCTAATCCATCCGAGTTCTGAAAGATTACCGTTATAACAATTCGTAACGTCGAGGAGTCCAGCTCCAAGGCATTCGTCGACGCAGAAGCATTTGTTCTCCGGACGAACATCCGCAGATGAAACAGAGTCGGGGTGAAGAACGAAGCGAAATCCTGGAATGCCTCCGAGATCAACTTCCTTCTCGTATTTCAAGTGCACGGATCTGCAGAACAAAGTGCAGTGCTTTTGATCTCGTGAAGTTTATTGATACGTTACTCGAGTCCCCCGAGGGCACCATGTCTCAATGGGTGAACGAAGGGGTGACCAATTGAACCAATAGGTCCTTAAGAAGATTTTACATGATGCGTAGGAGAGCTGATACTAGAGATACCAAGACCCCTCATATTCAAACGCCAATAACATCCCTTTAAATATGATAAAAATCGGCTAGACATGAATATATTTTCTACATTCTGAAGAATCATACATTTTCTTGTTTTCCTGAACTTGGAGCGGAAATATTGACTTTTCAACTTGATTGGATGGATGACTCGAAATAATAAATTTCACGATAATTTCTTGTCTACAGGCACTTCAGCGATGAGTTTTGGTTTCTTCGTAAGTCTACCGCTTTTTCCAAGTGAAAGAATTACATTAATTCTCACTGGGTAAGGCATAGCCATAGGGAATATGGTTATCGACTGCCGATTGGGTTCTTATTACAAGAACAAGGTGAACATGAAGTCAGTTCGCGAATGTACAATATCCAATGACAAGAACTGCCAACCACAGTTCAGGGAAACTCGGGAAGTAGTGTTACTACGTCACGAGGAGAAACTCAGGAGAAAAAAACCAAGGCATGCCTCATAGAAGACGAGGCAGGTAAGACGTCATTGACTCGGGGTTGGAAATGCGTAATATGGCTCCCACCAAGCTCCACAACTGCTTTCAAGCAATGTACGGTATTCCAGATAGTTGCACTCAACGTCTTGGGGTGTGGATTGCACTTCTTGACGAATGGTAAACTTAAGTTCTGCTGTTAACGCCGGATACCTGAGTGATTAGTAACTCTAGATACCGCCGTTATACAAAGCCTGGTGAGTTTAGATCTGGTGATTTTGGTAAAGGCGACAGCGTTAAAAAATTTCCTGGCGACATGTCATGAAAAGTGTCGGTGTGCAACATCGTCACGTTCAAAATCAGAAATGGTACGCCATCTTTCATGAAAGTGGTCCCCAACTTGCTCCAATGGCACACTTTGCCATTGACGTGTGGATTCTGCAGCATTGTAATTCGACTAATTCATGAAATGTCATGAAGTTAATCGTTATATAATTCAACCGATTAAAAACCCTAAAAGAGAGTTACGTAAGTTACATAGGATTAAATACGAAGACGGAGATGAAGGAACCAATTTAACTCATTCGCATCCATAAGCGTACTGGTACGCATCGTCCCATGTTCTTACCCCAAGCCTATGGCTTAGATTGGCGTAGCCTTGTTGGCGGTGTATGTCAGCGTCAGGCAGTAGCATTCCAGACCACATAGGCCGAAAATTTCCTGAATGCGAATGGGTTCAAGCTAGTTATTTTAAAGGTATTGGATCAAGGCAAAAACGTTGACCAATGAAATGCCTGAACGCACTAATCAAAATTGTAGCCCTATAATGCAGCAGGAGGTGGGTGACCTGCATAATTCGGGTATAAAAGTGTAAAGAAGGGTTTCCTTGTTGATGAGCGGAGGGAAGACAGTGCCGTCAGTGCCATTGATGGCATTGCATTCGTCCGAACCCCAAGGCTTCTTGTAGTGCGAGGGTTCTCCTTGCCAGAGATGAATCCTTCCGAAATCAGAGGAATCCTCTTTTCCCGTTCCAACCAGATAGGGCCCGTCCACCGTCCCGTTTCTCAATACATCCTTTTGAAGTCGGGTGAAATCGAAAATGCGTTTGTGCATTGCAATTGAGGGACTGTACATTTTTAATGGGTCATTCCATCTGAAATCAGACAGGGGCAGGAGTATGACCCCTCTGATATTAACGAAAATTTTTAATGTGGTTTCCCCCATGGCCCAATGTGAGAATGCAAAATTTTGGCTTTGGATACAGAGTCGTTTTCGTTAATAATTCGTTAAATATTGTAAAATATCAAAGAAGGGGCACTTCTTCAAGCTCATGAGGGCCGAAAAGTTTTCGACCAAAATGAACTCAGCAAACAACATTGTTCTTTTAAATGTTAGACTTTTGAAGTTATTCCACATCCTTTTTTTTCCTCGAGGGGATACTGAATAAAATAGACCTATGTCAAATAACCAATTTTTGCATATTCTGAAATTTACAAAACGTCAATATGTTCATCAAACCCTATCATCATATATGTTATTGAAATCAGCAGAAGACGATCTAATGATGTGTGCCATATTTTAGTCTCAACCAATTCCACTTGAGAAGTGATGGCTCGAAATATACAAAACATAAAAATAAAAAAAAATGTTTTCAATTGTGTCGTTTTCCGTGCATCTCAACTAATTTGAAAAAAAAAACTAGCATGTCTGCCATTTACTTGAGTAAAAGATGAGAGCAATTTCAAAGTTCATGTATTTTTTAAATGCATACCACACATTTTATACAAACCCCACATTACAGTTTCTGGGGCCAATACTTTTTCCTTTGATTGATGCTATGGAGAAATAAAATATTTGGAAAGTCTATAAAAAGAAAGTCCATAACATCAATCAAAGGAAAAAGTATTGGCGCAGAAATTGTGATGTGGGGTTTGTATAAAATGTGTGGTATGCATTTAAAAAATACACGAGCTTTGAAATTGTTCTCATCTTTTGCTCAAGTAAATGGCAGACATGCTAGTTTTTCACGTTTGTTGAGCTGCATGGAAAACGTCACAATACAATTGAAAACAGGGTTTTTTGCGAAATTTGTGATTTTTGAACATTTCAAGCCATCACATCTCCTTAAGTGGAATTGCTTGGGACTAAAACAGGACACACATCATTAGATCGTCTTCTGCTGATTTCAATAACATATATGATGACGGGGTTTGATGAACATGACGTTTTGCAAATTTCAGAATAAATTGGTAACAAATAAACATTTTCGTCAATATCAGAGGGGGTCATGCTCCGGCCTCTGGCTGATTCGAGATGGAATAACCCTAGTGCTGAATGGAGAATTCACTGCAGGCACCCACTCACCCCAAGGAATGAAAAACGGAAGTCCTTAATGTCGGGTTCAAGTACTTCACTCAATATTTGCTGAACGGTTTCTTCCGAAAGGGACAAATCCTTTTTCAAGAAAGAAATCACGTTATCAACGAATGGCAGATAGTAGCCCTCGAAAAGCAGTTCCTCCACAGTCTTTGTGACAAACGCTTCTCCCTCTGGGAATTGCTTAATTATCTTCTCCAGTTGCGGCAAATTGAAGCGCATGAGTGGAACATCTAATTTGGCTAATGCTGCAAGAAGACCCTGAGGGAAGAAACAGACGGACAACAGCATTTAAATCAAGAAAACTGCGTAAAACATATCCTATAAGATGGAGAATTGAAATCCGAGTGTGTTAAAAATATATTACCCAAGGACTCTTACCTGACAGTCCCTTTCAGAGCGGGAGCGGAACCAGATGAACGATGGATGCAATGAAAATGTGTATATGTATGTATTATGTAGTGTGTATTATGCATGGTAAGCGAAATCTCGGGAAGAGACAATCGAGGGAGATATTACTCGCTGAAGGCATTACTCTCAAACTGAACAAGAAAGTCTTGGCGACAAGGTCCTTGGTAGGGGAGGAAAAAAAATGCCCAGCAAATATAGAAGCTCACTCATGGCTCTTCTTAGCACCTGATGGTCTCGTCGCACCTCAGCATTTAATGTTAGCTCGATCTTGGCGTCTAACGAAGGCCCAACAACGTAGGCCAACATCGCACATGTGAGACTCTAACATCGTTTTTATCTTGACCCAAGGTAGCTGTCCCACCTGGGATTGCATTGCAATTGCATTTCTGACTCAACATTTCTAACTGAAAAACTTCATGGAGTTTGCTCTCATCAGTTTCAAGGACAACGCTCTATATATGAGGATTCCAAATTGATCAGCATTATGTTCCATTGGTGTTAAAAGAAAAGGATACTTTTAGTCCCCTACCTTAGGCTATCCTTTGGTTACCCTTAGACTATGAGTAACAGTCATTTTTCCCCTTTTCATAGAACCCCCCCCCCCCTCCTAGTATATTCCACAGGAACTTGATACAATGATATTGAGGTAAACTCTGAAGTAAAGGATAATTTGCCTCAGACGATGCGGTGTCATTTGATATTATACTTCCCATGTGGCATAGCAACGTTGAATAGACGTTAAATATAAGAGTACGTAGATATATCGACCTGGAAACGTTGAGTAAACAAAAAAGTATACGTAGATTCGACGTGGAAATGGGGATATAATCTACGCTGAATAAACGTAGATATGGAAACGTTGAGTAAATGATGAGAGTATACGTAGACTTCACATGAAGTGGGAATATCATCGACATGGATTAAAAGTACATTTGGGAACTTTTTTTCTCTGCGCTTTTTGCAAGGACTCTTTCCTCCGCAGAGATTTGCAAACAATGCAATCCGACCAAATAATTATTCAACACAAGATCTTTCTTTCTTTTGCCATTTGAGACTATTACTCCTCATTCTAATGTCTTCAGAATGTCAACATGAACCACAAAGGAAACACATTATCCCCTTAGAGCATGATTCATCAAGTAATCACTCATGCAGCTCCAGCTCATTATTCATCATTCATTCAGCTCATCAACCACAATGAACAGCAAAACCAAGAAGACAAGGTCAGTTAATAATGACATTCCCAAGTGCAGAGGTTGATTTTCCTGATGTGGGCATAGCGAATGTGATATGCACAGTATAGTAAAGTGTACAGCAGTTATACTTCTAACATGAACATATTGAGGATCATTATTCTGTCATGGAATCCAGTGAACCATTCCGGATTACTTAGATCAGTGGTTCCGGACCTCCGGTCGCGACCCAGATCAGGGTCGCGGGGTGTCCTCAGTAGGGTCGCGAAGGGTCATCGGAAGGAATACATATTTTTGCAAAATGCATCGCATTTCGTTATGAAGATGTTTATGTACGAATATAAATTTTATCATAAGCCTGAGGGTCGGGAGGTCCAGTTGGTGACCAATTTAGGGTCGCAGCAAGAAAAGGTTGGCAATCACTGACTTAGATAATGGAGAGCTGCAAGGTTTTACTTTTAGCTTCAGTTTGTCGATTTAGCTCATCAGATGAAAATAACTTCGCACCTCTATATTAAGTGGGAAAACGGAAATTCCTAAAGCTAGGAGAGTCAGCTAATAATTCCAATATACTGGACTATCATAAACTAAGTGACGGTTCCTTTCTCTTCAAAATTGCATTTAAAATATAAAGGAGCCAAATCACGGAGAAATTCAAATTTGCTGGGAATTTATAGAGGAGCAACAATATGGCAACAGAATTTAGTGAATAAATACTCCACTCTTCTCAAATATTTGAATGATCACCCCATACGTATTTCACAAGGGATTCCCGCAGTGACTCCACAGAATAGTATTCAGGGATCTAGGAAATATGGTGATCCTATTCCCAGGAAAATGGAGCATGTCCTAAAGTAGGGAACTTCAACCAAAAACACATTGAGTGATTAAATTGGAATTGAAGACTACTTCAAGCATCTCAAGTCCAATGGATCATTATGTATGAAAACAGCCTGGACTTTTAGTACACATCATAGCTAGGAAGCGGATTTGTATGCGCTAATAAGTCCTGAAATATGCACATAATATGCGTTTAAAATGCCAAAACATGCATGAGATACGCACGAATATAGGAAAATATGCGAGAACATGTTTTTTTTATGCAATACGAATTTTTCGGAAGAAGGAACTTAAATTTACATTACATGCCTCTACTGGGTATAGTTGTTCTATTCTTGTCACAGCCAGCGTCGAAGCCAAGAATTCGCCAATGGAAGGCTAAGGGAAACAAACGCAGACTAGAATTTCCTAAACACGACGCTATTGCTCCCGCAGGGCTGCACGGTGGACAGGTTGCGGAAGGGCCTACAGACGGCGTCCTACCATGTCCCAAACGTTTTCGATCGGCGACATATCCGGGGACATGGGTGGCCAGGGCATAGTGTAATCATCACGTGGACACTATCTGGAGATGACGGCCGTGTGTGGCCGGGCATTGTCGTGCTGAAACATGGCTTCCCCTACTCCATGTTTCAGCAGGCCACACTATTGCCGCACAACTTTTGCTCGACATTACCGCCCTGCAGGAGCAATTTCAAAAAGCGTGGCGGACTGTGCCGCAGGATGATATCCAACGCCTGCATGACTCGATGCCTCGACGTCTAGCTGCGTGTTTTGGCGACCATGGCGGTCATACTACATGTTGATGTCAAGCACATGTAAGTGCATTTCCGTACCAATAAACATGATATATTGCTAGAAATGGAATCACGTCGTGCAACTGCCTACCTTTGTTTATGTACTGATTTTTGAGACGAATCTATTCCATACAGAATTTGATCCGTCCGAATGAAGAGTTCAAAAAGAGCTTGGCGGCTTTCCAAATTTCAGCCTGAAACAATTTGTAAGGCATGTCTAAAACCGTAATTTTGGTAAACTAGGAATTCGCATTCCTCGGGATTCCCCATGAATAACTCAAATCTTACGTAATAAGTTTGGGCGCTTCGAAACTTGTATGGTGACAATCTGTGTCAATTCCCCTGCTTAGTTGTCTCGCGTTCCGAAAAACACATCCCATAATTTTATGCACATGCAATACAATTGCTTAATTTTGCAAAGCTGATTACTTCCAATTCTGCAACTCAGGCAGCCCCCACCTTCACTCAAATATTTTCTGGTATACTTACAATATGA